AAATTTCTTTCAGTGACAAAATTTTTCCCACTATCCAATCTAAATCTGCCCTGGTGCAACTTGAGACCGTTTCCTATTGTTCTGTCATTTGCAACATGGGAGAAGCGACTGACCCCCACCTGGCTACACCCTCGTTTTAGGTGGTTGTAACAAAATATAAAGTTCTCCCTGTCCCTCAGCTTCTCCAGGCTAAACAGCTCCTTCAGTTGCTCCTCATCAGACTTGTGCTCCAGACACTCTGCGAGCTCCCTTGCCCTTCTGGGGACACACTCCAGCACCTCAGTGTCCTTCTTGTAGTGAGGGGACCAGAACTGTAACACAGGATTTGAGGTGTCACCTCACCAGTGCCAAGTTCAGTAACACTTTCCAATTCATTTTCATTAATATGCAAATAGACAGTTTAAACAAGATAATTCATCTGAGCATGGAAAACAAGGTGTTAGTGCAATTTATTTGTGAATGAATGGTGTTATTACTGGTTCAGAAGACACAGAACTTAAAATTGAGAAAACTTGTTCTGGAGGAATGAACATAAATTATGGAATTGTGATGTTCCAATTAAAATTCTTGATTTGCTCTTGTGAAGGCTGTGCATCATGATAGATATAGATACTGAGAACCTGCAGAATAATCCATATCAGTGCCAGATTCAGGAAGATCTTAATGATTCTGGAACTTAGAGGAGTAGTCAGGCAAACAAATGTCTTAATTTTACTGCATTGTCTTCATATAGTGATTCAGACTGTATAGGTCTGTCCTGCCATAGAGTGGACAACACAGTAGGACTTTGTCAGATTATGAAGCTTGTGTGCTTGTGTTGAATTACTTCTGCTGTCACTGCAGGATTTGGTAGGACCTAGCCCATGCTATGATATTGCAGTCTTGTTTTCTGCCTTGGAAATGTGTTTGACCCTTCCCAGGCTATTCAGGTCTCCATTTCTGCATGGAAATGGCAGGTGTGACCTAAGTCTTTATTATTCTGGGGTGGCAACTAGTTGCCTGTATTAAGACAGCTGGTGGAGCCAGAAATCTCCACTGGCTGTTGGGGGAACTTGGGCTCACACATGGACAGTGAAGTATAAGGTGTCTTCAGCTCAAAAGGAATCCTACCCTGGAAAGAGGATTCATTTGCCTGAAGATTGCTATGGGTGCAAATTATCATTTGATGTGTTCTGTAGTACCTCAGGTGTCTCTGTGGAAATAAGAGATGTGATTTAGGGTTTATTGGGAGACACAGCTTTCTGAAACCGGCTGGATTTTGGGCTGGAAGTCCAGTTTGCTCTGAAGTCTCTAAAACTGTATTAACCAGCTAATTTTAGTCAAATTAATTCTGTTCCAAATTTCCATATAGGCTCTCTGCTTTGTCACTGGCTTCTTCCAGATTTATTTCTATGCAGTTTTGGACTGTTTCACTGATCTTCATCTGCAGGGGACTTTAATGCACTGTTTTATACATTTAGAATTTTTTTAATGGAAATAATATAATTCTGCTTAATGCACACTGCAGAGGGCAGACATTTAAGTGAGCTTCTTCTTGCCACCTTTCATCTGCCTATAGAATATGTCCCGTCTAAACTGAGTAATAGGTTTTGTCTGTCATTGGAGAGAGATGGACTCACAAAGGATGACTCACACTTCATATCTTAGACAGTCTTCTCATTTTCTGTAGAAGCAGACCAGGGAACTTTGAAAGTAAAGTTGAGTGAGATGATCCCACATTGCTACACTTCATCTTTTTTCATTGCAGTGAGAGAGTAAACAGCACCTCATTATGCTTGTAGAGGGATAATCTGTAGAATTCTCTTTCTTCTTTCTTCATGGTAGATCCAAAGCTACTAAAATGCTGGAAGATCTCTCTCCACTGATGGGAAACAAGGAGGGCAGAGAGTTCTGGGTGCCGCAGTCCTCAAGGTGTTCTGTTGCTGGGTAGCATACTTGCAAATTAAGATGACATAGATGAAATTACGTGTTTGAGAATGTACATGGTGGTATCTTAACATTTGAGATGGTAAACTGGAGATGAGTCACGTCCAACAGAGGAAAAATATACGACCCCTTTATAAGAGAAAATTTGGGTGTGCAAATTTGAGTTGCAAGTGGTGACAGATTTGTTCCCAATGGCATTTTAAAAATCATGTTTTTAGTGTTGGGTGTTGATTCTGACGTGTAATGTCTTTTGTTCTTTCCTGAGCATAACAGAGCTTCAATGTGAAGTAAAGTCTGTACTTAGGTCAACTCTCAGTTTTGGCATGAGATTTTGAAGTTGTTACTACAGTTTCTCACAAGCGTCAAAACCCATTGTATTAATATGGACAGATGGTCAGGCTCCATCATGTTTATTGGAGCTATTGATGTATTATAAATGAGAGCATCTACACTGAAGTCTGCATCTCAAAATTTGATTTAGATACATGCACATAGGTGTGGACTGTGATTCACAGTTTCTGAGATTCTTTTCTTTGGCTTTTGGTGACCACTCTGAAAGGGTGTGGCTCTAGTCTCCTGTAGGACCTGTGTCAGATCTGTGCAGGTGTTTTGTATATCCCACAATGACTCAAAGGCAGCAGGTTTCTGTATGGGGGCTGCTGAATTGAGCCTTCATCATTGATCTTGCCTTTAGTTGCACTTTACTTCCAGTGGTTTTTCTCTCAGCAATGATAATTAAAATTCTGCTAGAGCAGTAAAATGGTAGAATTTGCTGTTTTCCTGGGTAATTACAATGTTGATGTCAAAAATTATATTCCTAGTAATGCTGACAACTGGAAGTGTTTGTACTTTAAAGCTTAAATGGTTAAGAGTGTATGAAAATAAAACTCTGAACAGCAGCTATCAATAAATTAATGATAAAATTTGCCAACATGCCAACTGCATGGAGTGGAATTATCAGGGTTTCTATATTATTTATATTTCAGGGAAGGCTAAAAATGCATGTGACATTTTAATACATGTTCATTTGATCTGCAACTCAGTATGGCGAGGGTGGAGGTTCATGTCATCACAGCACATATGAATGAATACTGAGTGATGAGTCTCAAAATACAAATATAAACTGTTAGTAGAATTACTAGGTAGGTTTTTATTCTAATGAGTGGATCTCAGAATTACAGAATCACAGGATGTGTCGGGCAAGAAGGGATCACGGTGGTTCATCAGGTCCAGCCTCCCTGCTCAAGCAGGATCATGCTGGATCCCATTACAAAGATATTCAGAGAACAGAATTTTTCAAGACAGTTCTTGAATATCTCCAGTGAGAGAAACTCCACAACCCCTCTGGGTACCCTATTCCAGTCCTTGGTGATCCATACAGTAAAAAAGTTCTTCCTTGTATTCAGGTGGAACTTCCTGTGCATCAGTTTCTGTCTGTTGTCCTATTGCTCAGCAGTCAGCACTGCTGAGCAGAGCCTGGATCCATTTTCTTGGCACTCTTCCTTTAGATACTTAAAAACAATGGTGAGGTCCCATCTCTTGTGGCTGAATAAGCCCAGTTCCCTCAGCCTTTCCTTGTAAGAGAGATGCTCCAGTCCCCCAGGCATCCTTGCTCTTCTCCCATGGACCTGCTTCAGGAGCTCCATGTCTCTCTTGTCCTGAGGAGCCCAGAACAGGACAGAGAATTCCAGATGTGCCTCACCAGGGCAGAGTAGAGGGGCAGGATCACCTCCCCCGACCTGCTGGCAGTGCTTTTCCATCCTCATCCACCCAAGGACACCAATGCCCTTCTTGGCCCAGGTTCTTTTGTGCAGAGCTGCTTTCCAGCAGATTTTCCCCAGCATGTCCTGTATTTGCCTTTCTGGAACTTCAGGCAGTTCTTATCTGCATCACTTCAGCCTCTTAAGTCCTTCTGGAGGGTTGCACAGAACTCTCTTGTACTGGCCACTCTCCCACCTTTGTGTTGTCAAATCTCATATTTTTACCTTTTTATCAATGACCTAGGAAAAAAAAAAAAGGACAATTTCTACTAATGTATAGATTACAAAAGATTGAATATGGGTTCACAGAACAGTCAACATTCTTTGATAAGCTAGGTTCAAAGAAAAGATATGTTTTAGATGGTGAAGGGCTCTGGAGATGTGCATATGCTCACACTGTAATTCTGTGGCCACATGAGCAGAAATAGTATGGTAAATTGTCTTTGATTTTACTGCTGGCAAGACTGCCACTGGCATATTATGTTAAATTCTGCTTCTGCAGTTGAAAGATAGATGATGACAAATTGGAAGAGAATCAGAGGAGAGCAGTGAGAGTGGTTAAAGAGCTTGAAGGTAACACCTGAAGATAATGCAAGGCTTCAGGAACTTAATATTTAGCTTTTAAAGGGAACATCAGGAGACTCTTATAACTGACTCTATAAGATCTCAGGAAAGAAATTTGGAACAAAATATGTTCTTACAGTAAAAGATAAAATTATTCCAAGACGACTGCTTAAATTCTGATGCTAGGTGTAAATAGTACGTTTTATTAAATGGAATTATTGGAACAATTTTTTCAGGACCTTTGGCAATTTTTTTTTTTCACCTGACTTTCTAAAGCCCAGATAGGTAGTTGTATATTCTTATGTTGTGTGTTTAGATTCAAAAAGAATTAAGTTCAAAGGTGTTTCTTTGTTTTATATCTTTTCAGAGTTTTGGGCAGCTTTTTAAGGTTCTTTTTTTATATATCCATGAATCTGCAGATAAAGTGGTATTGCTATAATGAAAACCTTTTTTGAAACATGTTTGGTTAAATGCATTTTCATTTTTGTAAATACTGGCAGTATTTCTAAACTCAATGTAAGTTAATAAAGCCAGAAGTGTGTTCAGTGCTTGTAATAGTATCTTATGGAAAACAGAGATGCTCTTTTCCCAACCAACTAGCAATTTCTGGTATTAATATGGTATTAATAAGTAATTTAAGTATTGTAAACTATTGATGAATTAATAAGAATGAGCCCCAGTTCTTGAGAATACTTGTGTTACTTAAAATGGATTTTTGGGTCCATTAATTAAAGCCTTTCTTTTCAACAGGCCCATGCTAAGGTCTGGCATCTCTACAATGACCATTTCCGTCCAGCTCAAAGAGGAAAAGTGTCCATTGCCCTTAGCTCCCACTGGATTAAACCCCAGCATATGACTGAAAAGAACATAAAAGAATGCCAAAAATCTCTTGATTTTGTGCTTGGCTGGTTTGCTAAGCCCATATTTATTGATGGTGACTATCCAGAGAGCATGAGGAGCAACCTCTCATCTCTGTTGCCCGAATTCAGTGAGGCTGAGAAGAAGTATGTCAAGGGAACAGCAGACTTTTTTGCTCTTTCTTTTGGAGCTACCCTGAGTTTCCAGCTTTTGGACTCCCACATGAAATTCCAGCAGTTGGAATCAATAAGCCTGAGGCAGCTCCTTTACTGGATAAACAGTGAATATAACAACCCCCAAATATTCATTGTGGAGAACAGCTGGTTCGTTTCTGGTACGACCAAGAAAGATGATGCCAAATATATTTACTATCTCAAAAAGTTCATTATGGAAACTTTAAAAGGTAGGACTTACTTTGTATTAATACATGCTTGAAAAAATTATAATGCAATATAGCCTACAGAGGTGAGTTAAGGCACCAGGCTGAAAACTGATTTTAGTCTGTAGCATTCATCTTGGCACTTATGAAATGAGATTTCAAATACCTTTCCTGGGTTTGTTCTTTCCTTGAAAAACTCTCATATCTGCAATAGTATTTGGTGAGCTTGATGCTGCTGTCCTCGAGGTCAGTAGGAAAATTTCTACTGTCTTTGGTAGGAGGAGGTGCAAGACATGTAAACTAATTCTCAGTGGCCTTAGGAGAATTTACTATCTTATAAATTAATAGCTGCTTTCCTTATCTGAATGCATATGTACAAAACATAAGAATATATATACGGGAAGATAAATACTATGCAATAGGAATGCCCCTGAAAAAACCCATAAGACCAAAATAGTACATTTTAAAATTAAATATTTAAAAATTTACATTTAAAAAAATTTACATTTAAAAATTAAAAATTCATTCTGTGTCTTGCCATTGTCCAAATTTTACATTTGTACAGCTGTGGGCATCAATCACAGTAATTTGGATTTCCATCAGTTAAAGGAGAACTGGATGGTTGAGGGTATATAATCAAAATAATTAATTTGTTAACCTATTTTTTTTTCCAAACATTAAGGGAACTACACCACCGTAGATGAGACTTACTTGCTGTTTTCCTGTTTCCTTCTGGCAAAACATTTTTTCAATCCTAGTAGTCGCTGATAAGTTGTTGGGGTTCCCATTTCCACTTTCATTGACTTTTAATTTCTAAATTTACAATTTATCAAGTGGTTTACTTGTCTACAGTTTACTGTTCTTGGTTTAAAGAGTATTATTTTATCTATTAGTTCAGATGAAATAGATGTTCTCTTACATTGCCATTTTCATATGGTGAATGAGAAAAACTTGGCTTCATTTTATTCTCAGCAGTAATGAAGATGCAGAGGACTCCCAAATTGGTTTCATCTGCTATTCCAGAAACCTAATTATTGCAAGTAAATTAAAAGGTGAATATATACCTGAGCAAAGCATTAACTAGCTATTGCAAGTATGGTATCACTAGTTTGCATAAAGTCAGATGAAGAGCTCATCTTCATGAAGGGGTCATAGTCCAGTTACCCCTATTTCTGCTTAGATTTTAAATTGCTGTAAATACATTCGTGGATCTGTCTTTTAATCACAGCTTGTTGGAAGCAATCTCAATTTACAAAGTGTCTTTCCATTTATTGTATCACTCAATAAGTAATAAGAACAGCAACAACAGTATTAAAGACTTGTCATAAGACACTGGCATTTGCCTAAACTTTTTATAGAAAAAAAATAAACACAAAGAAAGCAGAGGCAGGCTGGGTCTGCAGGAAGGACTTTGGTATCATTAAAATGAAAAGTATTGCACCCAAATCTTCTGTTGTTAGAATCTGCAAAATCCAATGTAAATACCAGAGTTCTCTCTGCAATACCTTGGGGAATTTAGTTGAGAAAGATCCAAAAAAGGCATTATGCTGGCTGTGAGCAGAGTTGTTGGACAGCATTAAAAACCAAACATAAAGTCACAAGCTTTCTCTCTGAGAGATGCAGATACGCCTATCCAGTGTAATAAAGCATTGTAATATGAAGATTTTTGATGTATTCACCATGAAAATCACTCCAGTGGTGAAGAGACAGTAAATGACACTGGAGCTGTAGCACTGAGAAGCAAGGATGATTAATGTAGACATGGGGTCGCATTACTGGGATTTTGCTACTTGCTAGATCTTGCCAATATCTGTGCCTGGTTGTGTGTATGCACTGGTTCAGACAGAACTACTTATTTCTGTATCTACTTAAACAAGTAAGTGCAGCCTAGTTGGAGCAAACCTAGAGTAAAAAAGAGTGTGAGATGGAGGCTGGTGTCCACACTTTATGTATTCCTGAAGCCCATTTCTGGATTAATTCCAGCCCAAAGGAACCCAGGCCATGCATTTTGAGTCCACCGTGTGAACTGAAGCATAATGAGGGAGATTAGCTCAAAAGTGTGCTCCTGATTTCCCTTGAAGTGCTGATGTAGGTGTTCATTCTGCTATTGCATGCTGTAGACAAGCTCTGTACATTTTTTTAAATTTATTTTTTTTATTTTCCTTTGGGAAAGAATATCCATTTGGGATTTACAGCCCTGTTTGGGGATAAGGAGGAGAGGAGAGGAGAGGAGAGGAGAGGAGAGGAGAGGAGAGGAGAGGA